GTCTTTTACAGTTTTTACTTTTTTTGATTTGTTTAAAAAAAAACGAATGATACAATGAAAGAAATCGTAAGTTTTTGAGTTATAAAGATTATTATGATTATTATATCGCATATATTATATATTTGTATATAATAAAATCACGTTTTTTTTTTAAAAAAAAAAAAGTTTTTCCATAATCATCAAACAAAAAAAAACTTCAAAAAATTTTCAACATCAGGAGATAGATTTTTCTTAACGAGAAAAAAAAAAGGATGAGTTACTGCGGCACATGATCTAAATTTTTTTTTATCAAATCAAGTGTGGCTGGTTTACAAGTTAAATTTTACGGAAAACGGTCATTATTTTTTTTTTTTTTATTAACAAACTTTTTTTATATGTAAATTTTTAAAAGACATACATGCATTAATGATGAAAGAATAATAAACATTTTGACATTTTGAACATTGTGAACTATTATAATTTATTATTTAAAAAAAAACTTTAAACATTGTAAAACATCATAACAAAGATAAAACAGATATATAATAAAAAAAAAATCAACATATATAATATATATATATATCAGTATATATTATATATTTAATGAATGAAGCTTTATAAATTCACAATTGATATACATTATTATCATATATATATAATAAAACAAACAAATAATCTTTTTGGAATTACTTTTTCATCGAAAAAATAATATATTTTTAATTGAAACTTATTATAATCAAAAAAACCCATGTAAAAATGTAAAAAAATCGCACACGTATAAACATGGTTTTTGATCTTAATTAGATCTAACTAAATCTATATATATTAATCAATTAATATCATGTAATGTTTCTCTGAAAATTATTTTGAAAGTCATAAGACGTAATCACATTGACCATATTGACGTTAACCGGCAGGGTTTGTTTATTCACAAACCCTGTAAATCCCCTTTTTTAAATGTATTACTAACCGCATGAGATAATTTTCTCGAATTAATAGAAATTTTCTAATTATAGAATAGGTGCATAATGATGAACGCATAGAAAGTTATACGATGAGATCTAGAAACGATATACAGTTAATATACCCTATTCGGGCGTTCATCGGTTAATCAGAAAATTCTCCTATTTAGGTAAAAACCCTTGTTAACAAGGGATTGTTGTTTTTTTTTGTGTAATCATTGGGCTGGCTAATTAAAGCCAAGCATTTTAATTAATCACAAAAAAAAAAAAANATCAATTAATATCATGTAATGTTTCTCTGAAAATTATTTTGAAAGTCATAAGACGTAATCACATTGACCATATTGACGTTAACCGGCAGGGTTTGTTTATTCACAAACCCTGTAAATCCCCTTTTTTAAATGTATTACTAACCGCATGAGATAATTTTCTCGAATTAATAGAAATTTTCTAATTATAGAATAGGTGCATAATGATGAACGCATAGAAAGTTATACGATGAGATCTAGAAACGATATACAGTTAATATACCCTATTCGGGCGTTCATCGGTTAATCAGAAAATTCTCCTATTTAGGTAAAAACCCTTGTTAACAAGGGATTGTTGTTTTTTTTTGTGTAATCATTGGGCTGGCTAATTAAAGCCAAAAATTTTTAATGAACACTTTAATTTAATAAAGTGATACATCGAAAAAATAAATATTTCGGATATTAAGAGTTTTATATAATCTCTTTTTTAAACACGTTTCTTCTCTAAATTTGTAAATAACCGGTCATCAAATATCGAAAATCCGAATTCCGATATAATAGAGAAAATATATATAAAATAAATTAAAACAATAAAAATATAAAAAGTAAATTAAAAAAACAATATAAAGAAATATTAAAGTAAATTAAAAATTATATATTTTTTTTTTGATAAATTTGATAACAACATTCAACTCAATTACTTTATATTCTATACAATCAATTACTTTATTCATTCAATTGCTCTATTACAATCAGTTACTTATCAGTTACTCTATTCATTCAATTTACTCTATTCAATCAATTTATTTTTTATTCTATTTATCAATTTACTCTATTCAATTATTCTATTTCATCGATTTACTCTATTTCAATCTATTAAATCAATTTTACTCTATTCTATATTCAAAGTAGAAGTATAAAAAAAAATGATGGTAATAACGACGTATAGTAATTATAACATTTAGATCATAAAAACCCTTGCCAAGTTTTTAAAAGTTTAGGTTAATTTATAATTCTGGCTAAATTATATAGTGTTGACCTGCGGATATCATACATGATGTTGTACTTCTCTCATTAGCATTCGAGGTGAGTTCTTTTCCGGGTATTATAAATTAAGAAAATAGTCTCATTGGTCTCTTAATAACTTTCATTGTTTACCTTACTCAACGACGACAATGCAAAAAAAAAAACGATTAGAAAAGATTTCATACTCAATTTTATTATATTTTATCGAAATGTATTAAATAAATGTATTGCATTAGTACTGAGAAATCGATAGTACTAGTACGGTAGTACCCAGTACCTTCCAATACACCGATACATGGAATATGACCAGAATTATGCTTAGTACATGCGATATTGTCGATTTTAAAAAAGTTTTTATTACCTTTATTATATGATACTAACTTCATTTTTTGTTTCTCGGAAAACTAAGTATTGTAGCGCAGTATTATTTTATTTACGATAAAAAATATATATATATTCTCCCGTTGTCAACATTATCAACTTTAAAAAATAAATATATATTCATAATTTTAAACAAAACGAAATATTCTCTCCCGTTGTCAACATTGTCAACATTATCAACTTCTTTAAAAAATAAATATATACGTAATTTTAAACAAAATGAAATATTCTCTCCCGTTATCAACATTATCAACTTCAGTTCTTTAATTCTTCTTCTCTCTTCTTCTCTTATTACGATATGGAATGGATGAAGTTACTAATTTTACAAAATATATTTATATTTTTAAATAAGATTTAACTTTTTTTAAACAGGATTATGATTATAACGATTAACTAATATCTTACCTAAAATTTTCGAATTGTTATCATTCTCTTCTTCTTCCAAAAATCTTCGTTTTTTTCTGATTGGGAACGTTTCTTTTTTAATAACTTTGTTTGAACGTTTGATATGTTTGTTTGAATATTTGCTTGAACGATAATAATGATTATTATTATTATTTAATAAATTGAACCATGAAGTTGATCTATAATGAATATGTAAAACTGCGATAGGTTCATAAGATTTTAAATTAGAACTTTCATTCCAAAATAATTCATTATAATTTTTTGAACTAATTTTTAAATTTTTAACTATAGGAAATTTTTTCTTTTCAATTTCATAAAAATAAACTGAAATTGTATTAGGTCCACCAAATTGATAATGATTTGTAATTATATTTGATATTGAACTTAATTTAGTTGGAAATTTAAAAGGTTGATATTTTTTTTTAAACCAAAATCCATTAACTATTTGAAATGATTTATTATACATTTCAATACAAGTTTGATCTGTTTCTCCATTAATAGCTACATCTCCACGTATTATTTTTGTCTTGTTTACTTGTAATGATCGAAATCTTATTTGAAATTTGGTTTTTGGTTTAACTTCTACGATATGATGCATATCGCTAAAAAAAACAAAAAAAAATAATGATTATAAACATAAAATAATAATAATCATGTATATTAAATATATTTCTCGTACCAGAAAATTTTTTGTTTACTTATATCATCAACATAATAACTTGGTTCAAATTTAATGTGCTATATAATGAATATTAGATTATTAGATTTTACTAATTTTTTTTTTATTTATTTTTTAATAAATTGATTATTTTCTTACTTCTGTTTCGACTTTTACGATCCTTTCAGGTAACAGTACGTCGTTAACCAAAACTTCAAGAATATAACCACCAAATCTCATAATTATAGAAAAGTTTTTTTTTTTGCACCAAAAAAAAATAAAAAATTTTGAATCAAAAAGAATAATAAATCGAGTTGAATATAAATCAATTTTTTTTTGTCTTGCTTAGCTTTTGAAGGTGAAGGTTTAAAACCTGTTTAATATTTTTAATGTGAAATTATTTTGATTTTTTTTTTTTTTATGATGCGTTTAAGGATTCTTTAAAATTATAAGGAGAATTATTATAATAATTGTTTTTACCCTTACCTTAATTCATACACTGAGTAATATCATACAACTGAGTAATATCTTACATTGAGTAATTCATACATTGAGTAATATCATTAAAATCAAAGTTATCATAATTATCCTAATACTTGAAAACTGTCGTTTTGATTAATCATTATTGATTTATCTTTTGAATTTCATAGCAAACACGCAATTATGTATCCATATTTAAGCATTCATAATTTATTTTTAGAAAACTAAATCACTTAAAATGATCTCTCCTGATAATACGTATCTTTTTGTGACTATGTACTTATTTGTATTGGAATTTTTAAAAGTTTTATAAAAATCATGATTATGCAAAGAATACTGGATAATCAGGACAATTGAAAGAAGGACAATTGAAACCAAATTGAAGGAAGAATCAATTAATACTCAAATAAAATAATGTATAATGATAATTAATCACGAAAGGAAAAAGTTTGAAGTAGAAAAATCGCGAAATATATTTAAATATTTTTAATAATCATCATCATCACACGTTATCTTCTAGTCGATTATTCGACAAAAATCTATTTTTAACCGGATGACCAAGTTATTTTGACACTGATTTTTTAGAATAAGGTACAAATAAATTATTATTGCATAAAACATTTGATTTTTTTGCGCATTACATCTTTTAGTGATTAAATATCACATATATTAAACTTTATGCCTATGGTTTATTAAATAGTTATTGGATTCCCCATCGTTATAGTTCGATATTGTGGTGACCAATAGGACCTATGGGACCAATAGGAATTAATGCTACTATTCTACTAATACTGATTTCAATATTGGATGTCTCATAAAAAATATCAGCAGTTCCATAAAGTGTATCATACATGATCTTTTCATCAAGAAGATTCATCCAAAGGTCTTCCTTTTCTTTATCAATAGTACATTGGTAAACAACATTTCCTTCTTGTATCATTTGTGAGCATTCTTCCATCGTGAAACTTATCGGCAACGATAAATGGTTCAGTAAAATCCTGCATATTCTTAATCGACTGAACAACAATATGATTTATATGCATAATAACAGAGTTATTGGAATATCATCCGAACTGTGAATATCAATAAGCTTAATTAAAAAATCGTTTAAACAATCTTTGATATATCATAAAAATTACTTGTCCAATTCTCTAATAGTTGTATATACTTTGGCAAAACTTCGTATTAAGTAAATACCAGTGATAATATACTAGTTATTTAAATAAGCTTAGCAAATATGCAAACCAAATTTTAATATATACGTTAATTAAGGTCACATATCATATCACATGATTTAAATTCTATCATGTGTCACGTGACAATAAATTGTTTTTTTTTTTCTTAATTTAAAATTACATTCTTCCACCTCTTTAATTAATAATTAAAAAAATATATTAAGATAAGTCAAACCCAACATCTGCATTGATAGCGTATAATAATTTCCTAAAACATAAAAATATATTTATAAACAATTTAGTAACCAATCATTAATAAATAATAAAACTCATTTAAAAATAACATACTCTCTCAAAGTATCTTCATCGGGATAAGCTGGCAATTTTAATAAATTAACACAAGTACTAGAAGAAGGCAATCGCGTTCCGGATCCAGCATTACGTATACTAAACTTTGGATTAAGTTCCTTAAACCCAAGTATAGGAGGTCGAGAACAGGATGTAACAAATTTTATTAATTTTTGCTTTTGTTCTTCAGAAAACTCAGATACAACTTTCCAGAAATTAATAATAACTAGATCATCCTCCTTATAATCAGAATATACTGTATTTTGTTTTAAATCTTCAATATTTATTGGAATATATGCACCCCCAACTAATATTTGAAGTTCTTCCTATTAAAAGGATATGAAAGATTAAAAAAAGAATATTCAACGTATATAAATAAGTATAATCTACTTTTAATACCTGATTAAACATTCTTAACCACTTCTCGTCAATCAAATCCGATAACCCTCGAAAGAATGCCTTACATTGACGATCTATTTGTCTGTTTAGTCGATAATGTGCCATCATATATATATAGCGTATACGATTATCATTATTAACCGGTATGTCACTTCCCCCAGGGATTAATTCAATAGTTTGAGATTCACCAAACTCTGAAATGATAAATTAAGTTGAAAAAAAGATTCGATATCAGCAATTAATCAGATTTAGGGAAACTCATTACCATTGTCAACAACGGTGAAATTAAGTGATAAATCCGATTCAACATCGCCTTTATAGTTTTTCAAGTATATTAAGCCATGGTATAATTCTGGATCAAGTGTAGGCAAATCATCCACTAAAATTCATATTCCAAAAATTATAACCGAAATAAAAATTTTTTTAGATCATCTATAAAATTCATCACAATTTACGAGACCATTTTAGATGAAAGATTAAAAGATACAATTTCATGAAACTTACAATATGATGATCTTCCTAGCCATTTGCTTAAAAAGAACCCGGCAAATGCTGCATCAACTAAAATTCCTTCATATAAAGCTTTGCCTAATATACGACCTATGAACTCATAATATTCGAGTTGGGTTTCTAAACAATTTAAGAAAAAAATAAATATAAAATAATTACATAATATTATTACAATAGTGATATTTTAAATACCTTGTTTTGCGTAGCTATGCGGATTAGGGTATAAAAGTTGTTCCTTCGTGCTGAGGAACAACCCATAATTCGTATCAAATGCAACACGTGTTAACCTAAAAGATTAAAAATAAAACACATAAAATTAAATATATGGAAGAGAAGGTTTAATATTAAGTAAGACTATTAATAATCTCACGTACGATGTCAAAAATTCTTTAAATAAACCGCCCCCATCAATACCGGCTTCTGGCATTCCAAATTCATCAATGAATTGAATAGCAACCGGACTTTTCAGTCCGGCGCCTAATGCATTAAGATGGGTGAAACCATCCTCAAACACGGAATTTCGTCTAATTGTAACACGTGTACGTGGATGCGGAAAGACATCGAAATGGCTAAAATAATAAAAAAAAATAAAATGTTAAAATCGTCATCATAATGAATGAGATTGATATATTAGATATAAATACCGGTCTCGTTTTTTATCATTATATACATATTCTCTAAAGATTTTAATCCGAACTTCGAAAGGTATTACGAAGGGAATATTATCCAAAATTCCAAGTCTCGGGCTGAAATTCACTAATTGTTTCTTATTTAAATGAATTTTATCATTATCTCGTTCAAGCTCTTGTTCCTCACGAACTACAGCCTCCACAAAAACATTCATATCAATTTCTGAAGTCATTAACCAATGATCTGATGGTGTGAATTGACGACGAGAACTAGAATATAAATTATAATGATAATAATTGTAAACATATTAGAATTTTTTTCTAAAAAACAAAAAACAAAAGTAGTTATATTAAACAACAATAATCACTCTCTCGCATGAATTTGCCGTAATAACTTAGTAACAATCTCTCTTAAATTATTAAGCAAGCTTCCTTCAATCGTACTATCCAACTTTAACAAAGTACTATTGCTCCAATATAACGAGAATCCCACATGCTATAATATAAAAAACAATAAATTATCAATATAACAACTTTGATAAAGAAATAATTAAAATTTATTATTAATACCTTCATACAAATAGACATATTAATAATTTCTGATAATTTTAACGGATTTTTACTCTCATCAAAGAATTCGTCATCTCCCATAGTAAACAAAACTCTACTAAATAACTCACAAAGCAAAGTAAATAGACCCCATTGCTCGGAAAAGGCAGTATCTAGATATACAAAAAACTAAATAAATTCAAATTTATATCTTAAAATAGAGACAATATTAGTAAATAATACCTGTCATTATGCCATTTGGAATTGATTGACTATTTAATAATAATCGTGCCAATTCTGTTACTTTAAATGTATCCCACATTAAAGTAATCGCTGAACGGTTATCAGATGCAGAATAAATTCCAAAAATCATACTGTTTAATAGTTCTATTTTTTTTGTCGGCCAGCGAATCATTAAAGTTACAAAAAAATTCGAAATCTTTATAAGAGCTGAAGAATTTGCAGTTTTCATAAGCGCAAAAAATGAAGCCAAATGTTGCTTATCAAATAAAACAGAAATCCCCTCCAAAATTTGTGGATCAATTTTTGGCATGTTAGCTAATTCTGGACGACTAGACATAATTATGTCTTCATCGTCCTCATCATCCTCGTCGGCATCATTATTAGACACTAGAATTAAAAAAAAAAAAATTATTACGCTAATATAAAACTTTGTAATAAAGTTTATAATTCACTAAATACCGTCGGATTTGTCAACTAATAGATGAGTTGGAATTTGTAATGCTAAATTTTGGAGTACTTCCATATAAGCCAGCTGTCGAATTTTGATGGAATAATTTAGTTTGTTACCAAATTCAATATAAACTAGGATAAAGGAAGACAACACCAAATCCTTTTAGACTATAAAAACTCTTAAAAATTAGCATACCTTATTGATCATAGAAAAATTTTTGTATGCAAATGCCAGCAAATTTCCTAACAGTACAATTCTTTGCTCCATATCTGATATGATTCCGACTATTTCTGATAATTTTAAAATAATTTCATTCAATGGTAACCGGGAAGAAAATTTGTTTAGGGTTTCATTACTCATCCGATTTGATAATAACGGAATTGTAAAAATATGCGTGGTAAAATTATATAAAGATAATTTATAGGCTTTATGTTCAGAAGGTAGGATTTGAAAAGGACGTAAAGAGAGTGTTACTGATAGTAATATCACATGATTATTTTTATCTTCTACTTGCTAATTAAAATCAAAGAAAAAACTAATAAATGTATAATACATTATTGAAAAAAATATAAGAGTTAAAGCCAGAAATTTACCAAATTAATCAAACAATTTCTTAATTCTATATATAGGCCATTTTCAACTAGAGATTCTATAATTCCTTGATAAATTTCCCTGTAAATCAAAATAATGTCAGAAAAATTTAGGAGAAAACATCCATTGCTAATTTTCTATTTGTTATGTGATTTAAGAGATACAAACATTCTATTAGTATCCTGGATTTTTTGATATTTTGAAACATCCATGGGTAGGAGCACCGTTTTTAAATAATTAATATTATGGATATATTGATCTGGTTTTCTACATGATAAAAATTCGGCATAAAGAATTTAGATTTCGCGCAAAAAAAAAAAAAAAGATTGTCTCATATTTAGTGTTACATTATATTAATTCCGATATTTTTGAGAAATATAATTAAGGTTCGTTTTAATTGTAAAGTCCACATAACTCGTAAATCATCGTAATAAAATGGGATAAACATTGTTTCTGAATCTATCAAGATAAAATAAACATACAACAATTAATTAATTGGTAAAAACAAAATTCATTAATATAAAAAATTAACCTTGTATTTGTTTCCATAAGATTTGATATAAATACAATTTTCTTTGACTATCATGCTGTGGACGATAGAAAAAGAGGAAACTACGCGCAATATTGATCAAATTAATAGCAACATCACGTTCAGATTGTGCATTATTCAACATGAATTTAGCTTGTTGGTCCCAGGAATCGCGCTCATTATCGCGTAATTTTCCAGCAATAGTTCTTCCGCGATAAAAAGCCTACAATTAGAGAAAGAAAGAATTAACGATAAAATATTAATTCAAACTCTTAAACCTTTATTTATAATCATATTAAATATATATTTTTCAAACCTGAATTATAATAGCAGACTTTTCTTTCAAACGTTCATTTTCTCTAGCTTTGCGTCGATCTTGATTCTTTTTCAAGAGTTCTTCCTTAGTTTCTTGTTGTCTTTTTCCTCCAAGGTTGATAGCTCGACGTGTCTTGTAGTTACCTTCGAATGTACTATACATTAGGACAATATGCCGATTTTTTTACGAGTTGTAATTGAAAAAAGTTTTGAGGTAATCCCTGGGCAACCTAATTAAAAAAAAAGAAGTATGATTCATTTGAATTTTTATGTTAATATGTAATAGATGTAGATCGCAACATCTATAGAACTTGTAATTGTTAAATCACTGGAACAATCAAGAGTTTGTCCGGCTAATAGAATTAATCGCATGGCAAACTCCGTATCACATAATTTTTACTATGTATCACATAATCTGCATAAAATTCACTTGTCAGTTGTTTTATAAGCCTTCTATAAAGTTCCTTTACTTTTATTTGATTTTCTTATACCATCCATCTTTTATCCTTTGTTTGAATCTGTAAGTACGAGAATTTTTTTCATTTATGTCATCTTTCGAAGCTTAATATTACTAAAAAAGGTTAGGAACTTTTCGATACATATATTATATTCAAAGTAAAAATCCGTCCATCCGTTCGTTTTTTATACCAAGTAAGTTTTTTTTTCTTACCAATAAATATTGAAGTAATGCTTAAATCTTGATTTTTTTTTTTGATCCTTGATTTACTTTTTTTTTTTTTTAAAAAAAAACAGAAATTAACAAATTATTAAAGTTAAAAAGAATCAAATAATATTAAATTTAGTTATTGGTGAGTTATTTTTAATATTAATAATTTTATTTTAAAACTAACCTACAATATAAAAATATTCCTAAATTGTAACGATTTCAGATTTAAACGTAATTAATAAATAAAATAAATTATCTTTTAAAATTTTGAATATTTTTTTTTTTTTTTTAAAAAAATTTTTTAAAAGAAAATTTAAAAAATTGTAATCACTGGGTGGTCTTATATGTGTACTTATATATTTTATGTGCTTCAATATTGCAGCAAACTGTAATATTGATGCATTATTTGATCAACTTTAGATAATTTATTGAGATTTGTGTTACTATAATAAACTATAAAAAAATATGTATATATTCTATATTATTATAAAATATTCAAGAAAATTTTTTTGTTAATTTATTTTGTTAATAGAAATGGGATCAAGACTTCCAGCAGATTGTCTACGCGTAATATTCGAATTTCTACAAGATCATACCAAATCATTACATTCTTTCCTACTTGTAAACCGACTTTGGTGCGAAACTACGGTTCCTATTCTTTGGAGAAATACGAAAAATTGGTTATTATCTGATAAATCAACTCAAACACTTTTTACAACATTATTATCTTGCCTTCCGGAAGATTCGAAAAAACTCTTATCTGATAACGGGATTATAATTCCTCCTCCAACTGCGCAACCTCTATTATTTGAATATGCGGCATTTTGTCGTCGTTTATCTTATAATGATATAAATTATGTTATTGATGGGGCAATTGGAGATCGACGATTAAGCAATTCAAGAAAATTATATAGCAAACATCTTATCAAACAAGAAATGTTTCGAATGTTTTTAACTCGATGTTCGACGATCGAATTTCTTGATATTTCGGATCGAAAAAATACCGATGTACCTTTACCATATTTTACAGGAGCCGAAACAAGTTTTTTGCATTTATGTGAATTACGATGTAATACGGAAATTCCATCATCGATATTTTATCGTATGGCACAAATTTGTAGGAATATTGAAACTTTATTTATCGGATATTATCCCTTTGATAATGAAGGTTTAGCAACGCTAATTGAAGTTCAAGAAAAATTAAAAAATTTTGAATGTCAATCTCAAATACGTAATACAGAATATACAGAATATACAGAATATGCAGAATATACAACACTTGAAAGGCCACCAAAGCCACCATGTAAAAATATAGCATCCGCTTTATCAACATGTTCTAATAAATTAATAAACTTAGCTTTCGGAGGAGATATAATAATTATTCCGTCATCCACAATAGCAGAAATTGCTAATTTACAAGTATTAAGATTGGATTTTAATCGAAATTTGAATGAGGAAATTTTGGAAAGTTTAGAATTTACAGCACTTCCAAATCTTAAAATATTAAAAATGGGTGGTATATTAGCTCCTTTAATAATGTTGGGAAGATTAATAAGAAGGACAAGAAATAATCTTGAAAAAATTTCATTATATGGTTGGGCAACACCTGAAACAAAATCAATTGGAATTTTTAATAAAGTTGTGGCTCAATATGCACCAAAATTAAAATATCTTACAACTTGGTGTTACGAAAATAATTTTACTGATATTGAATTAATATTAAATTCTTGTGATCAATTGGAAGGTTTAACGATTAGAACTCTTGATAATCAACTTGATGGCGATATTTTGTTTGAAATGTTGGGTAATTTAAATAATGAAAGCTTTTCTAAATTACGAATAGCAGGTGTATGGGCTTTTACTCATGAAGGATTAAAAAAATTTTTTGAAAAAAGAAAGGAAAAGAAAAAGAAAAAATCTTTCTCTTTATATATATGTGATTGTTACGATGAGGTTGATAGTTGTATTGAAATCACAAAAAGTCACATGAAAATTATCGATAAATATAAAGCTGATGGTGTTTTGAAAAATTTTAAAATAGAATATGATTTTACTGGGGACTTTTAATTATTAATACTTAAATGTAGATTCTGATCATTAATTCTTGTAATTTTTGTAATATTTTGAAAGGAGTTATTCAAAAGTACAGTTCTAAGTTTCTTTTAATATACAATAGATTTTGTAAATTCACGTCATTTATTTTGTACATAGATGCAGAAATGTACTGTAATTCAAAGGTATTTATATTTTTTTTGAAATTAGTACGCAACCAATTAAGGAGCGCCACATTATGATCGACTTACGTTCCCTTCTAATTTTAATACGGATAAAAAACAAAATACGGTAAAATCTTAATAAAAGAGAAGAATTATCCAATTTGATTGCGTGTGCTGCGAAAGCATGTCCCTTTCTTTTCCAACGAAAAAAATGATATATCGTAACAGTAAGTGTACTATAATCTTAGTAAATTTTTCGCGCAATAACTTCATAGAAAAAAAAATGAACAAAATTTTATTAAAAGTTTTTTTTGTGATCAAACTATAGCATCAAGAATACTTGCGGATCTATAAAAAAATATTTCAAGTTTTACAATTGAATTTAAAAAGCAATTAATGTGTGATATAGATAATCAAAATTATATACATTTAATGAAACTATATAATTTATAAATATTATAATTTAATTAATTATTAAGTTTAATAAGAAAATAAAATAAAATAAGTTTATAATAAACTAAATATTATATTATATATATAAATTTTTTAATTAATACTATATTTTTAAAATTAAAACAAGTTATAATTTGAAATTCAACTAAATTTAAAAATTTAAAATCAGTCTTTTGCAATTATTTTATTTTTATAGTTTAATTTAGCCTTTTATTTAATTGTAGCTATTAATAAATTAATAAAATTATTTAAATTTAATAAAATAATTGTAAAAAATTAAAGAATAGAAAACATCAATTTTAAAAATTAATTCGCAAATCAGTGAAATCTACTAATACATTTTGGGGAATTATTTTGCAAATTAATTTAGTGGGAAATTCAGATAAAAGCAATAGATATAAATGTGAAATGAACTTACAAATTATTAGAGAAAAGTAGTTTAGAAGAACTGACATTCCAAAAGTATCAACTATTCAAATTACTAAATACACCACAAAATATAGTATGATAAATTAGACAACCTATATTTAATAGAAATAAATAATTTTAATACTTTTTTTTTGTTTTTTCTTGTTTATAACCTTTAAATAAATTATTTACCAGCATATAAATAATATTTTAATAAAAAAATATCAATTTTGTGATTATCCCACCTCTTGTATTGAATAATTATGGCATTTTTAAAGGCTGAAATCCAGCATCACTAAAGAAAAAATTTTTTTTTTTATGAATTTTGATTCCCTCAGTTTTAAGCAATTGGTTATACTATTTTTTAGCTAAGTTGTAATACAAATTTGGCTAGTTACTTTTTAGGCAATATCACCAATTTGTATAATAACGTAACCTTAAATGGCAAGTATATATTGATCAAACTTGTGATATTAATATTTGATGATGCAAATTTATCATTCAATATACTTAGAATATTATTATATAACACTTTAAAAAAAAAATTCTAGGTAAATCAGCTCAAAAGCCATTTAAGAGATAATTAATTTATAAAACCAGTTTATTAGTGGTTTTCACTGGTTCAGAGACAGATCATGAATTAATTATAAATTATATATATTAAATATCTGAAATTTTTTTTTTTTTTAAACTCTAATAGCTCATTAGTTCAAATTTATGAATATTTGCAAATAATATAAAACTAATTTTAACCCAGAATGATTTAACTAAGATGATTTAATCTGATAATTTTTAGGATAATTTAACTAGGGTGATTTAACCTAGAGTTCTAAATGGGTCAGGTCAGGTCAGGTTAATTGATAAATCTGACCTGAAATTTTTTTTCAGGTCAGGTCAGGTCAGGTTATTTGTTTGACCTGATCTAAACTGAAACCTGAAAATTTTCAGGATTTTTATTAAAATATCAAAAAAAAATGATGCAAAACATTTTTTTTGAAAATATTGCGATTCACTTTTTATATTAAAATCATATAAAAAGGTGAATCACAATATTGCAACTAGCTTTTTTTATATAAAATCAATATAAAAAAGTGAATTCCGATACCGCAATTCACTTTTTTTATATAAAGTCAATATAAAAAAGTGAATTCCGATACTGCAATTCACTTTTTATATATAAAATCAATATAAAAAAGTGAATTCTGATACCGCAATTCACTTTTATTATATAAAATCAAATATAAAAAAGTGAATCCCAATATTGCAACTCACTTTTATTATATAAAATCAAAATTATAATACCATCACTTATATTATATAAAATTATAATTTCAGGTCAACAGATCATTCAGGTTATATTAATGTTACAACCTGAACTGATGCTGAATTGCAATTGCTAAACCTGACCTGATAAATTCAGGTTAACCTGTCAGGTTACCTGAATTTGGTCAACCTGTTCGGAACTCTAATTTAACCTAATAATGTAATATTTCACGAGTTATTTATTTGTTTATCTACTATATTAAACAATACATTTCTTTTCTTTTTCCTTTCCTTCCTTTTTTATTTTCATTACTATTTTTTCTTTTTCTCTAGATGGATTTCTCATATATCTTTTCATTTTTCTTTCGATACTTCCTTCTTCCCTTCATTTCCGATCTTCTACTCTTCTTTTGCCATTAACATTTTGAACTTTAACCTTTTAATATGACATATTTTTTTTAGCTTTATTTATTTGTTTTTATTTTTTACTACAGTGCATACAACTTAGTCCCAGCAATTAAATTTGATGAAATTTAAATCACTACTATTCATTCAAAAAAAAAGATAAACATAAAGTATAAACGTACAATGATAAACCAGATTAAGCTTAATAAAACTATGTTTTTAAATTTCCTGTAATGTATTTTTTAATAAAGTAGTAGCAATTCAAAGTTGAAATATTTTACTATTGAATTAAATATTTGGCCATTTTATTCTTACCAGAATTACATGTAAATCTGGTCAAAATTACTTTCTTTTGTTAAAATTATATATAATTCTGGCTAGAATTAAGAATTATAACTTAAATTAATAAATCTGACCAATAAAATTACAGGGTTAAGTATTACATAATATAAAAAATTTGGCCGCTTAAAAATTTTTTTATTGGGACTAGGTTGTATGCACTGTAATTAACTATTTTTTTCTTTTTTTTGTAAGTTCTTTAACATCTTACTAAGTAGTAAATTTTAGGTTTTTTTTAGAATTCTATAAATCTATTTTCTTTATAGAACTAATCAATTCTTTTTCTTTTTTTTTTGTTAGTGTTTCTTCTTGTGTTTTTTCTTGAATTTCTTTTTGGATTTTCTCTTATGTTTTTCTTGGATTTCTTTGGAACGTGCCAGAAATCAACTGATTTGAAAGGGGTGGAGGAGTCTAGTGTTCCGCAAATGATTCAGTCAAATCAAATCAATTCAAATTCAATTTGGATTTGGTTTGATTCGATTCAATAATTTTTGATTTGCGAATCAAACTCAAATCTGAAATTTTGATTCGAACTCGAATCTGAATCAAGTCTGATTTGATTCGATCATGTAACATTACAAAAAAGGAAATTTTTATTACCGCAAAAATGGAAAAAAATGTTGCACATGATTGTACAAGTTTTTAAAAAAGGAAATTTATTTTTGCTGATTCTCGGAATTTCCTTTTTGGGCGATACCCATTTCACAAAAATAATTTTTTATGAACCACGCAGATATCTTTTTTAGATCTTATGTAACATTCAACCTAAAAGGAAAAGATTAGTGATTCATCGAATTGAATTGAATCTCAAATCTAGCCTGATTTGATTTGATCAAATCCAAATCTAAAATTTTATGATTCGAGTTTGATCATCAAATCCAAATCTAACCTGATTCGATTCAATTTGATTCGTACAGAACACTAGGGAAGTTAAGCTTTATATCAGGTCTATATATATTATGTGACATTTATATATTTAAATATAAATGTAAGTAATTTAATTTGTAATTTAGCAATCATGTGTAGTATTTTTATAATTAATTTTCAGGGGATTTTTACTATTTATAAATGCAAATGATCGTCAAATACAAGAAATACCATACTATTAAAAATTTTTTTAGAATAATCCAATTGTACTAAAAATCACATGTGTTGTTTGTGAAATGTGTATCAGACAAAAAAAAATTTTTTTGTTTATATGTTTGTTTTTATATTTTATTTGGGGCACCTGTGAATTCCAGTAATAATGCTATATATAATATTTTAACAATTGAACTCTTTCCTGTACCGTTCACGTCCATTTTTCATACAAGAAATATTACGCTTTTTCTCGTTAAATTACTAGAAAAATAGCACTTCAGTATTAAGACAAAAGTGTTCCTTGGTTTAAACAACACACTTTTTATTATTACTCTTTTCAGTTCAAACCAGTTCAC